AACTAACCATTTTTGTCACCACGTGTCTAAGTGTAACTTTATTCTAATTTTTGACTTTTAGCGCTATTCTGTAAATCTCTGGAACGGCTAGACAGAATTCTTTTTAAACCTCATCACATAATATCCATGATGTATATAATGATGTCTGAAAGTCTCGTTAAGATAATCATTGCAACACATGGAAATTTGAAGACGAACCCAGCCTACGAAACCGGCCAAAAATCCCCGTTACAACATTCACTGTTTTGACGTTATGCTAATTTTTCCAAATTAATTGAAAGAGGGGAAGATTTGAACTTTTATAAAAAGTCTATAAATTTACAAATTATAGATATTTTATTATCTCTGTAAAAGGTCCAGTTTTTCCGGTGTAATGCGCCCCCTAAATACCTCTAAGATCAAAGTACATTTCAGCGTGAATATAGTCAATGTTTCACATTCAAAAAATGTAATAAAATTCACACTGAAATTTACACTTTTACTGCGATTGAAAAAGATCGGTATGGTCTCCAAAAAACTGTTTTGAAACACGTTAATTTGCCTTTATATTATAGATATGATGAAGGAAAATACAGTGCTTACTGATTGGTGACCAGCAATGCCGCTCCCATCCCTTATTTTTTTTAAAAAAGTGATGTTTATGTTTTAAAAACATTTTAAAAGCATATTTATGGCGAACCTCTATTGAGCGGCTAACCAGAGCCTTCAGTAGACGGCTACTTGACAGTACCCCAAGAGTGGCCGCAATCTTCGAGCAAAGGAACAAGCCAATGACTCGTAATGACGATTGATTCGATAGGATGAAGAAACTTGGGAGTTGAGTGACCTCTGAGATTTGAAATTGGAAACAATGTTTTACATTGAAAATGCAATAAAATTCACACTGAAATGCACACTTTTAATGCCATTGACAAAGATCGGTATGGTCTCCACACAAACTGTATCGATCGAGACACATTAATTTTCCTTTATGTTATAAATATGATGAAGGAAAATACAGTCCAGGTGCTTACTGATTGTTGACCAGCAATATCGCTCCCATTACCTCTTTCTTTCATTTTTACTAACGATGCCAAAAATCATGATGGAAATCGGTTATATCGTTCCTGCCGAAAAACGCGATTAAAAAACATAACCAACACGCATAAATATAGGTTCGGGCCACCTTAAGAAAACCATTTGAATATACACCAGGAGGGACTAATAAAAGCAGAGCATTTTTGCATGAGGTTAATGAAATTCAGTTAATTTCTCAATAACGTCATTCAACAATAGTGTGTTCATTCGCAAGTATTCATTGCTTAAAATCAATTGTAATAGCTGACCCGATTTTCCTCTTCTCTTTCCCATTTAATAACAGAAACCTAGTACGTTCAGAGTGCGAGCAGTCTGCATACACAGCATGAGTTTGTGAGATAGTTTGGATTAATTAACTTGTATTATATAATGCGAAATTAAGACTGAGCAACTTGGGTATGAAGTGCCTTATAACATACGTAGACGAAAAAAGGATTTATTAGATTTGAAACTGAACAAAGCCATTCAGAAATTAAATTATTTCTAGCTTGTGCATATTTTTCTTCGGTTTTATTTCAGTTCATATCCTTTATTTAGCCAAATCAACAAGGAAGATGAGGTTGGAGCCCATTACAGTCATGAAATTTGTTCCAGTGGGATAAATTTCACGACTGTACTCGCACTTCAGCGTACCCTGCGAGCAGAGGCTTCTCCCTTACATGGCTTTTAACCCTTTAAGCCCTAAGAGTGATCAGCATCAAATTTCTTTTTGTAATATCACTGCTTTATAAAACAGAGTGGTCATAAGAATTAAGGATCTGATCACACAAGACGAATCTAATTGATTCTTCAGCAAATTCTCCCCACTACTTCTGTTGAAAACGTATAGGGATAACAAATGAGAATTTGAATTTTGATGTTAGGGTTTAAAGGGTTAACGTTTAGCCCTTACGAAGTCGTTCACGAAGCTTGTCTGTCGCGTGGTTATTTTTTTTACGCCCAGTGAGAAAGGGGGCGCAAACAAACTAACCACGCGACAGACAAGCCTCGCGAACGACTTCATAAGCGCTAAAAGTCATGCAAGACAGAAACCTCTGCTCGCAGGGGAACTTCAACGATTTTTCAATTTATTTCAGATACAGCAGTCGGCGCTTTCATATTTAAGATTCCCTTGGTTTTTTGGTTTCTTTGCTTTGGAATATTTTCTTTCAGAAGTCAGGATGACCTGAAACACTGCATTCGCCTCGATAATTACTTCCGACACTTGGTTACGGGGGTGGGTGACAGTTAAATCCATTTGTGCTATTTTGATATTTTCACCCACGCGATAAATAAAAATTAGTTCATTACCAATAAAGCCAAGACATTTACTGGGCCATTCATTTAAAAAATAGTTGGCATTTAGCACTTAAACATTAGACGAAACAGCTATGGAGGATTTTCAAATTTCTGTCATTTATACATGTGTGCAGTTGAAACTCCATTAAACCGTCACCTATTAAGCGGCCAATCTCTATTAAGTGGCCAGTAATCCAAGTCCCAAATTAATTGAAGAAAAGCATTGCAAATTAAGCCTCTATTAAGCGACCGCCCACTTTTGGCCTTCCTAATGACGAGAGTTCTCTCACTGTTGTCACCTCTTTTAGCGGCCATCAAGCGCTTGATACCTTTAATTTGCCTTTATGTTATAAAACTGATGAAGGAAAATACAGTCCGAGAAAGCAGGTGCTTACTAATTGTTGACCAGCAATGCCGCTTCCATCGCTTGTTTGTTTCAAAATAAAGTGACGTTCCCTTTTTAAAAAAGATTAAGCATATTTATGACGAACCTCTATTGAGCAGCCAACCTCCATTAGGCGGCCACTTGACGTGTACCTCAAGAGTGGCCGCTAATTAATGGAGGTTCATTTGTATAAAATAACTTGCGTCCGAGGCCTTCTTAAAATAATGACCGAGCGCGTAGTAAGTGGTTATCATGTTTAAGAGTTCCGAGGAAAGGCATTATCGAATATAATATATCTTTTCATTGTTGTAGCTGTTTCCATTGTCCATAACCGTGACCTTATATTGAGTCATCACTAGGTCGCATTTTAAAGTTTCACAGCGAAACAGAGCAAGAAGTGCAGCAACACTGTGCCAAAGTAATAAGGCTGAAATTGCGGAAACTTTTCACGATCGACAGGTAAGTTAAGTTGAGAAAATTACCTTACTTGCCTTTTCCAAGTTTAGGCGTTTTGGTCTCACGATTTTCGGTGACTTACGAAGCTGTTGTTGCACGAGAAGTGCATTTTGTGAACTTTGAGATAGTTACAATACAAGTCAAATAATCAAAGAGAAATTTAAAATGTCCGAATTTTGATGTATGTCATCGCAAAAATTTGTAGACCTTCTCAAAGATAATTGCATGAAATTTAAAAACAAGAAATAGCCTTTACTTGCTGTTCAATTCATTCTAAAAGGCACCTTATTTACCTGTAGGGAATTCTGTTTGAGGACAAATTTAGTACGGCCCAACTACGAGCCAACCAATCTAACAAAATTGCAAGTCACAGACACAATAGTTGGAAAGTAAAATGACTGCCTTGAATAAAGATGATATGAACTGCGGAAATACAAATTTAAATGAAGATATTATCGTCGCGCTGTAATGGCAATTTAAGCAATTGCAAATTAACTCGAAAAAGATTTCGGTGCTTACAACGTTGGGAGCAGGTACGGCAAAGGACAATCGCTGGTACCCGCGTCAAATAAGTTTGAACACATTACACCAGTCTTACATGAACTTGGTTGACTCCCTATCGAAGAGCTTCTAACTACGCTTACGTGTTGTAACATTACTATGATCTTTAAATGTCTCAATGGTCTTGTGTCCAGCTACTTAAGTACTACCTTTGTAAAACGCTCAGAAACTCACTCGAATTGCACTAGACAGAACAATCAACTTAACCTCCCTCAGTGCCACCTCGGCCGCCGCACGATGTGCCTTCCGTTTCAGGTCGTCTGAGGTACTCGATCAATATTTGATTTTTATATAGGTCGGCTGCTGAGGTTTTGAAACCCTGACCCCGTTTAGGAAACAAAACCGGCCTCAATTTATTACCTTGTTTAAGACAAACTGGATAAAATACACGCCGTCCTGTTTTAAAGCCATTTATTGGCAATCGCAATAGAGCAAATTCGTGTAATGTCAATGCTTTTGTACACTTGGAGTACAAACAAATTTCGTTAAGTAAATCAAATCAATCGTGCTGGCAATAGCCTTTTTATAATTACTACAGACTCGCGCGAAATTATATGCCCTGTGTAAGACAGAGAGCGCAAAAGCCATACCCTGTCTAGTCGAGCCGCACATCCCCGTATAAGGGAGTTCACCCCTCGAAGTCTCTTCCTATATATGCCTAGACAGTTGTATAGGACGGCGACCTGGTGTTCCCCCGCCATTTAAACCCACCCTGACAGTTAAGAAGCTACCTCGAATTGCACGCCGTTCTTTTAGTATTACCCTCTGACTCATCTCCAGTCTTGAGCGTACAGCTCCTTTTTCGTCCATAGCTGGAATGGTAATTTGTCCGCGATTCCTTTTCCTTGTTGGGTAGCCAGGGAAGGACAAATAGTCCCACCTCTCAGCCATGGCCTTTATGGCGGGGGGAGCGGGGTCGAGTACGTCCTCGTGGTAGGCTATGGCACCAACCTACCCCATTGCCTAACTTTATTTATCATTACTATTATTATAATTACTGTTATTTATTGTTATTTTAATTATTATTATTATTTTATTGTCGTCTTCATCGTAGGCTGAGGCTCCAACCAACCCCAGTGCCTAACTTTATTTATCATTACTATTATTACTACTATAATTATTGTTTATTATTATTATTATTATTATTATTATTTTTGTCGTTGTTGCTGTTGTTGTTATCACTATTAATGTATTTACCTTTTTTGCAGGCTTGCAATTTTATAGTTTAAATCTGTCTTGATAAATGGCGAACAACTCTCAAATTGGATCGAGTTCCCAGGACCCCCTAGGACGTTCTCACAGTGAAATTGGTTTGGTAGTGGCCTTGGCTATTCTAATCTCCCTCATCTCCTTCCTCGGCAACTTCTTAGTCGTCTATGTTGTCTATAAAGACTCCAGACTCAGGCGCTTGACCAATATATTCATTCAAAACCTGGCATTGACCGACATTGCCTCGGCATCTCTAGTCATGCCCTATTGGGTAATAAGCCTGTATACAGGGACTTGGATTTTTAGCGAGAGGTGGTGTGAGATTCAAGGTGTAATTCAGGCCACGTTTGGAATTGCTTCTATCCTGACTATGGGACTTATCGCCTTCAACCGATATTTTCGAGTCGTCAAATCAGAGCAGCTTTACAGCAGGCTTTTCCCGAGCAAGAAAATGGCCCGAGTCTATTGCGTCATCGTATGGATAGCTTCTATACTTCTTGCAACACCGTCATTGTACGGTTGGGGCAAGATGGTTTACCATCCTCCGTATGGTGTCTGCACTTTTAACAGGAAAATCGAGGATATTTCATACGTGATAATACTCATGAGCGGAGTGCACAACACAACCACAGCTGCAATATTTTACTGCTACTACAAAATTTATAAGACACTTAAAGAAAGCCGTCAAAATCTAAATGCCCATGGAACGACCTCATCAGAACGTCCTCGAACTGATATTAGAGTCTTGAAAACCAGTTTTGCAGTAGTTTGTGTTTTTTTCATTTTATGGGGACCAGTTACTGTTGTTGTGATGATGGAGTCCGCTGAGTATTTTGTCCCCAGGGAGGTTTCTACGGCAGTCTTTTTCCTTGTCTTTACAACTAGTTTAGTAAATCCAATCATATACGGAGTTATGAATCCTCAGCTCCGAACGGCCTTCAAAGGGGCTTTAAGCTTTGGTCGGTGTGGCAACCAAATAAATCCGACTGGCCAACCTTAATCTGATGAGATGACATGTTGAGGGCTCGGGGGAGGGGGGGGGGTACTCCCATATATGGGCTATATAGGTACGTGCCGCGGAATAGTTTATGGTTTTTGAGGTTCTAGGTCCTTAAATAGGGTATCTCTTTTTACCCTTTTGTTTCTGTGTCCCTGGTGCGGTCCTTAGATAGGGTAGCTTAATTGTATTATCTAATACTCGAAATTCAAAACTTTGCGAGGAATCGCCAGTAATCTTTTATTTCGTGCATTTGTAAAATTCAAGCAACCCTTATTGTATATGCGCGTCCAAACTCTGGAGTTTCCAAATATGGTACTTAGCAAAATTGAATATTCTAACGCTGTGAACGCACGTTACACGTTTGACCCCTTATGGGTTTCTGACAGTGTATTAGTGTAAATATTTTACTCAATGTACCAAGGAGTATTGTATATATTCTAATCCTTGTGAAGTATACACTTCAGGGTATCGTTCTTTTATTGAAAAGGGCGGAGGTTGATTAGAACTATGGAAAGCCTAACCTCCACAAGAATTGTTTTTCCTTTATTTGCATTCGGTTTTTAGTTCCGTTAGCTTTGTTCATCACAATGATTTAATACCGCCGGATATTGTTAACGATCGTATTTGTACAGAGATCTTACATGATTATTGTACTTGTTGCAGCTCTGTAACAAAATAATAGCAGTAAAGAAACAGTATAGAGTGTTCTCACATGACGTCACGACGGCCATATTGGTGTCCCAAAACAATGAAGCGGCGGCCATGTTGGTGTCCCAAACCAATCCTGTGGGAGTTGAACTCTAGATTTTTCTTATGCAAACGCTTTCTTTTGTTCCAATAAATTTGCATAGATGCTGGCCACGTGAGTGAAAACACTCTATTGAAAGATGTATCATGGTTATGACTGCATATTATTAAACAAGGCTTATTCTAGTATTTTATGCTTGATGCTATACATCCAATGTAACAGAGAAGAAATAAAGTTTTCCTTTTCATGCTATTAACAATTTTGCTTTTTCCTTGAATAGGGTGTCATTTTTCGGCTTTGGGCCTTAAAAAGGGGAATCAGTTTTCGCTTTCTTAGTCCTCCAGTAGGGTTAGGGTTCACGAACCGTCGAGGCACACCCCTCTCCAAAATTCGCGGAAGTTCCACCCCGGGGTGGAGGGTTCAAAATGAAAGCGGCCCTGAGGATACTCCCTATAATGATGGCCTATACGGGGAGGCTCCACCCGAAAGGGGTACCTTTTTGGGCATCACGTAGGAGGGACTTCAGGTTTCGTCATAGGCTATAGGAAACACTGGGTTTCGACTAAATAAGGCTTTAATTTGTATCTAATAAATGTGAATTACTTACATTGAAGCAGTCTGTTTTCGTTTCTGGTCAATACTGCCAATATTTTTCTTTTAGAAAGCTTGTTTTGTTTCCGAAGTTGATCTGCATTCATTAAAACTTGGTAACCTAGCGTTTTCTGTGAATTTTGGAGCGCGAGAAATATTCCACTAAAAAATGACTGGGTGTAAAAACACTGTTATAGTTGCGAGGAGATGTGGGCTATTGACCTATGGAAGAGCCGAATAGACAATAGTCATTGTTTTTTCATTTCTTGTTGGGCGCCCCTTTCAGCCTCCGGATAGTGCTAAAAATGTCACATCGGAAACCCACACTCGGAAAGGGACATTTCAAGAGATAGAAAACTTTATTAATAAGTCGGAGTCGTATAGTTTTGAAAAACCCCATACTAATTTGGAGACACAATTTATTATTAAAATTACAATATAAAAGTAAAAATATTACGACTATGCATATTATATTACACACAATCCAATAACAATGTAAAATAAGAAGTATTCTAAATAAAATTAAGAAAAATTGTCAAATTAAACGATGACGATGAGCAGAGAGAACAGCCCTTACATTCATTATCTGTCATTGAGTCTTGAATCACTCTTACGAATTCTGCTTTTAACAAATATTTAAAGTTTTCTCTGATCTGAACCCGGGAGGTAATTTTCCTGATAAACTAGGATACCGTAAAGAATACTTACCGTATGTTACAATATTAAATCTAGAAATAGAGAATTCCGATTGTCGTAAAGAATAAGAAGAATTAGGATTATTGAAAATATTAGAGATATAAGTTGGACATAGTTTAATTTGTGCTTCACTTTGAAATTGTACATAAGGATTCAAATATCCTGCAGGTGCCTGTTCAACAGCGTTGGCAATTCTGTGGATAACTTACATGCTTGTCTCAGTCTATATACTGTCGTCCTCAATCCCATTTCTTGAAGACTTTCTAGGTTTCGCCCATCATGAGATCTACAAAAATGCCAGACTAAATGGCAATACGTAAGGTTTGGTAAAAGTACGGACTTGAATAATATTAGCTTGGCCAGTCGAAACAGGTTTGACTTTCTCTCGTGAGATTTCGCGCTCTTTTGCGTCAGCTAATGTGCATGCACTGCTTAATTCCAAATCACTTGCCATTGACAGAGATGATCTTTAAAAAAGACCATAAACATGAACGCAATACAGTCAAAACCATTTCCATGTGTTTTAGTCACCTTTTAGGGGAATTGTTCTGTTAAAGGCGCCTTCTCAAAAACATAAGCTGTTCTTTGCAATAAGTGGAATCGAAAATGCTGGCACCTGATTCGTTTATATACCTCTCAGAAAGAACCATTAGGAGCAATGCAAGGTCGATCCTTTACCACACAAACGGAAGGACAAAAAAGGTCGCGAAACAGTTTTTTTCACGAGAACGGAATTGAGAAAATATCTCTACCTTTCACTTCCTTCAAAAGTCTTCAAACAGCAGATGAAGTGAGATTAAAACCACCGGCCGTTTGAATTGTTCAAGAAAGAACAATGGGGCAGACTGAGAGGGAAACGCTTAATCAATCTGCTCTTGGAATATGTGAATTTCACCAAAGTTAGTTTTAGACCAATTAAACTCTTGAAATTAATTGGAAGTTGATTTCTGGAGGAGCCTGTAACCTGCAAACTGTTAAGTTATTCAGTGTTGTCAAGAAAGAATTTAACAGTCCCCATTAAAATACTCTGCATTGTTTGCTTTGAGGCAGTCGCGCGTGGACTTTGACGTTTCAAACGATCGATTAAAATGTGCGAACATCTCAGGAATTAACGCTCCAATTCAACGCTTCGTCACGTGACCCGTTCCCATGACAAAGTGTTCGTCATTATCACAGGGAAACCACACTCTTATTTGTAAACTGCAAATGGAAATTAAATGAGAGATTAAAACTTACCTGTTCTGTTCTTGAATCTGCTGCGGAGCAAAGTGAAATGAAAATTGTTCTAAAACGCAAAAACGATGTTTGTGTCGGCGCTTTGTCTGTAAATTTCACAATGTTGTTTTTTACGTGGTTTGTCTCGCATTTCACTGTTGGTATCAGGCGGTTGTTATTATCGTCTCGCGTTTTCTTTTGGACACTTTTATCGCCAACTTTTTGGGAGTTTATCGCCAACTTGTGGCCAAACCTACTCCTTGTGATAATGGCGTACACTTGGTCATGGGGGCGGGTCACGTGACAGAGGGTTGAATCCATGTGTAAATACTATTTTGGTATTTTCACCCACACAATAAATTAAACCTACTTTATTACCAGTAAATTTAAGCCAAAATATTTACTGGGCCATTCATTTATTGTCATTTAGCTCTTAAACATTAGAAGAATTAGCTATTATAGTGGATTTTCAAATTCCCTAAGATGTTTTGATACAGTTTTTTTGGAGACCATACCGATCTTCTTCAATCTTTTTTATCCCTTTCCAATGGCTACAATATTTTCCGGCACCATTGACTGACTTTCGATATAAGTTTGTCAAAATGCACTTTGCACAAAAAGTTGATAAAAGCCGAATTTTGTGCGATCTAGACATGCTACTGAAAATCCTACGACAAGAACTTAATATATAATACTGAAGTGTGGTGTTTAGCAAATAGCCTCCGTGAGAATTAAAAAAATTGTATGTTTGAAATGAATAAGACGTAAATATCTTCCAAACCCTATATTTTCAATAGCCGTGATATATTCCTTAATTAAAAATTTCTTAATAATTCAAATTAACCTCAAGCAGCGTCAGAATGCTCCTTAATATCATATTTCGTTGCAAGGAATTTTTGGTGTATTTTCTATCTTGCAATCTTGAAAACTAACTATTTTTGTCACCACCTGTCTAAGTGCAACTTTATTCTAATTTTTGACTTTTAGCGCTTTTGGCCCTATTCAGACGCCGTACTCTCCTTAAGCCAAACCTAATTCGAATTTAGGCCGACCCAAATTATTTAGACGGGCTGAATTGATTCAGACGCCGATCTTAATTTTCTGTGAATCTTTGGAACGGCTAAACAGAATTCTTTTTAAACCTCATCACATAATATCCATGATGTATATAATAATGTCTCAAAGTTACGTAAAGATTGCATCACTGCAACACTTTGAAATTTCAAGACGAACCCGTACAAGTACATTTCAGTGTGAATATAGTCAATGTTTTACATTCAAAAACTGCAAACTGAAACTCATACTTTTATTGCTATTAAAAAAGATCGGTATGGTCTCCATTAAACTGTATTGAAACACCTCAATTTGCTTTATATTTTAGGTATGACGAAGGAAAATACAGTCCGAGAAAGCAGGTGCTTACTGATTGCTGACCAGCAATACCGCTCCCATCACTTATTTGTTTAACCTTCGGGCGTACAAGGGGTTGGGGGGGTCATTTTCAGTAGTTGCTCGTTCATCCCTCGCACACATTTTGAGACAAGTTTAGTGATGGTCAGTTGCTATGGTCACGAGATATGACGTCATAAGTAGCACGTGGTCAAGCAAATTTTGGATGAAAATACATGTTATTTTAACTTCTTTCAACAACAAAAGTAAATCTTGTGGCTACAATCATGCATGTAAAGAGCTTATTAATGTGTCATTTTTCGTCTAAAGCACAAAAAAAATACTATTTCTCGCAGTTTTA